AATCCTAACTTCTCATACTATTGCTCGGGCTTTTGAAAAGGTATATGATGATACAACATGTCCACTCACTTGGTCAAAATTATTGATTACAGATAGGGGTTCAGAGTTTAAAGGTGAGTGTGAAAAGCTGATGACTTCCCATGGTGTAAAAATTCAGAAGGCCAAGTCTAAGCGTACTGTTGGCATTGTGGAGTGATATAATCGTACCTTGGTTGAGAAACTATTTCCCTCTCAAGATGCATCTGACTTACTAACTTTAGGTAAAATGAGATCTCGAGTCTGGGTAAAAAATTTACCTATTGCTGTAGAAAGTATAAATAACTCAGTGACCCAACAACTTGGTATATCTCCTGCTGTAGCTATAAAAAAATCACAAGTGTCTTCCAGATCTTCTTATTCTCATGATGGACCTGTTGGGTATGAAGAGGAAAAACTACCACCTGATATAAGTGTAAGGTACTTACTTGAACCAAATGATCTGGAAGGTGGAAGACGTCGAGCAGGAGATATGAATTGGTCACCTAAGATTTATCATATCCATATGTCTTTAACACAGAAAAATCAACCAGTTTTATACTGGCTTACTGATGATGATGGTAAAGAATTAGAGAGATCCTTTGTGAGGGAAGAACTTTTGGTTATACCAGATGATACAGAACTTCCACCACAATGGGTACTTACGAATTAAGATAGGAGTCTGTGAGGAAGTAGTCTTTTGCCAATTCATAGTATAACCTGTATAGCTTATTAATAGCAGACAAAAGTTTTGGCTCTCTGCTATACCAGGTCTTATAATTTTCCAAGATTTGCTGATACTTTGTCTCATTAGATAGAATAGATTGTGCTGTTTCAAGAACAAAATTTTCTGGTTCTTCTGCTTGACGCAAATTGATTATCCTTTGTTTGTAACATAACATGAATTTACCATCCTTTGGTTTCTTGTAAAGGATGCCTGCTTTAATTACAGCAATTAGAGCTGATTCAATTTCACGGTATGTTGGCTTAGCTGGTATAGCTTGGGTAGACATCATTTTTATATCATGTAAAGTTTTTTTTAATTTAACTTATTTATACTTAATAAAAATGATTGGAGAATATACTTGTGAATATTTACATAACACAGGAAGCCTTGTGGTCATCCTTGTGTGAGGCCAGAAGGTTGTCGCATTCATTGGAAGACAAAATCACACTTTCCTTGTGCTGTATGTGGTAAACCTACAGGTTCATCTAGTGGTCGATGTCAATCTCATATTGGGAGTTACTATCAAAATTGGTATGAAAATAGGCTTCGTCAAAGAATCAGAGCAATTTATGATTAGGGTTAAATTTTGGTTAGACTTAATTGTCCCAGATTTTTTCTTATTGCAGGGGAAGCTTTACAATATGTCTAGTTGTCTTCCTGCTATATATTTTTTGGTTAGACCTGGGTCAGATTTTTGGTTAGACTTTTGGTTAGACCTGTTGTCCCAGATTTTTTCGTATTGCAGGAAAAGCTTTACAATATGTCTAGTTGCCTTCCTGCTATACATTTTTTGGTTAGACCTGGGTTGGATTTTTAGTTAGACTTTGCTGTCCCAGATTTTTTCGTATAGCAGGGGAAGCTTTACAATATGTCTAGTTACCTTCCTGCTATACATTTTTGGTTAGACCTGGGTTAGATTTTTGGTTAGACTTTTGGTTAGATCTGTTGTCCCAGATTTTTTCATATAGCAGGAAAAGCTTTAAAACATATCTAGTTGCCTTCCTGTTAAAAATTTTTGGTTAGAGCATGAATGGCTTAAATCATCAAATGAATCCATTTTAGAGTATCATAAAAATAGTATGCCACAATGGATTGCTGAATCATGCCATCGGTATTACAGACACTTAGTGTCCTTCATAAATTTGGCACTTATAAAGGCAATCTGATATAGCATAAAATTATGATACCCTGGAATGGATCCATGCGTGGTAATAATGCCTAGGAATATATGATTTTAATCTTATTTACAACGCTTGGGAGGTTCTTTTTAGCTATCAAGTAATAATATATCAAGAATCAAGGTGAGGTGGTCTGGGAATAGAAAAACAGGTATAGTGTTATCATATCAGAAAACAAGGCTAGGTAGTCTGGGGGTACACTAAATTATGGTTAGACCTATGTGATAGCTGCTGTCCCAGAACCCCCAAGTTTGTCCTACTCAATTTTGCTATTTTCATAATAACTCTGCCCCGAATTTATATAGTAACGCACTACTGATTATATACGAATCGGATCTTAAAAAGAATCTTTTTTTAAAAAAAACCAAAATTTCGAAAGAACAAACTTTCAAAACTTACTGATCTAAAGTGAAGGGTCTTACAATACCTAAAAAAAAAATAAAAAAAAATATTAAAAAAAAAATTTTAAAGTTTTGAAAGAACAAGAATGAAAATTTTGAAACTTATTGATCCAAAGTGAAAGTCAGATACCTAAAAAAAAGTGAAAAAGCATTAGAAAAAATATTTTTTTTAAAAAAAAAAGGTTTCAAAAGAAGAACAAAACTTACCTATTCAAAGCGAAAGGTCGAAGCCAATACATACCTAAGAAAAAAGAAAAAAAATTAAATTTTTATTTTAAAAAAAACAAATAAGTTTCAAAAAAAAAAATTGCAATGGAAATAAAAAATAAATTATCAAATTGTGCTAATCATGTAACACAAAATAATTGTATATATGAAAAATTTTTATTTCATGTACTTTAACATTTTAAAGCATCATGAGAAACCAAATGATATTGATATTACAAAATACCAACATATGAAAATTTTGATATTTCAAAATGAAAATTTTATTAAATAATATATGATTTAGCATTTTTATATTAAATGGTAAATTTTATATAATTGGTCCAGTCTGGACTAGAGTTTAGAACTGGTTGCACCAACTGGTTTAAAATTGGTTCCAACCGATTTTTTGACAATTTGGTTTAACCTGAATTCATATTCTGAAAACCGGTTTGCATTTAAACTTTAAAATAGGTGCAACTGGATTTTCAATCTGGTTTGATATTGAAACTTTATAGTACTAGCCCAAATTACGAAATTAAAATTACGTGACCACGGCTAAATAGTTTAGCCACCAGTAAGTTATGTTACACAAAATTTTATTATAGATAATTAAAATTTTGTATTGTGTTACACAAGGGTTGTAATTCCGGCCGGAATTATAACTTGGCCAGATTTATGACGATCACATTTAATTCTGGCCAGAATTATCAAATATATACGATTCAGTTATTATTGGATTTTGTGAAATCAGTTTGAAACGGATTGAACTGGTTATCCTCAAATCTCAGACCGAAGACTGTGAAGGCCGGTCCCAAGACCGATACAGGACTGGCCTTTACTGGAAGTCTGGAACTGATCCAATCCTAGTCCTGTGCAGCACACAAATTCTATTCAAATTCTGCCAGTTTTTCTGAAAGATTGTTGATAAATCCGTGAAAATTTTTAACCCCGTAATTTTTCAGACGTGATGCTAAAATCAATTTCTGGGATTTTTAGATCTTTCCAAAAATTTTTTGTGCGCTGGTAGCTACTCCCATCCAATAATATATCGTTTTTACTAATCAATTACTATTAAAACATGAAATGAAAATAAAAAATTACTGATCAAAAAATTATAACCATAATATTTTATTTTTTATAATGACGTAAGGTTGGTTTAGCAGCTATGTAATAAAATTTCTCATGTGTATTGAAAATTCTCTATTTTTTTTTAGGTTGAAGCTGATATTAACAATCTGTGTATGTTTATTTTGTTCATAACATTTCCATTCGAATTAAAGTTAATACTTTTATTAAGAGATTAAATCCTATATTGATAGGGAAGGAAATCCAGAATATTATCAGTTTGCATTATTACAAGAAAGATTCTAGGTGAAAAAATTGGTTCTCATATCCCGGCAGAATGAGAATTCCAAATTTTTTTATTTTTTTATGTTTAACCAATAAAATTGCTCAAAGTTATATCACGTGATAAACTAAAATTTGCAACGAAATCTTTCGTCCATATAACTATTTTATAAAATGGTTTCTCACGTCAAAATACTAATTAATAATCAACCCTAACTCGGTAAAGCAAATCAAAAATCAGATGATAAAAAATTTTGTTCTTAAAAAAATAAAAAATCCTGGTCAAATTAAAGTAAATTTTGATTTTGATATGAAGAACCAATTTTTTTTAACTTTATATCACCTTATAGTTTAAATTACCAATTTTAAAGTTTTATGAATAAATCAATTTCATTATAAATATACAATAATTTACAAATTCAATAAATAAAGCGTTGTCAACTTTTTTATGTTACATAACTGTCCATAATCCTGGCCAGTTCTTTAGCCTTTAATCTTGAATTAGTTAGTTTAATAAAGTGTATAACAAGATAACTGTACATATATACATATTTATTGTGATGATATAGCATATTATTTATAACTGATAATAAGAATACACATTAATACAAATATGTATAATTTCACAAAATCAAAAAGAATCATCAAATTGTAACCAAACTTCTTAATTCCAAATGATTTTTAAAGAATTATGAATTTTTTAAATTTATTTAAAATAACTAATTAAATCTATATATAAAAACAGAAGAGAGATGAAAAGAATATAAATTAATTACAAATTGAGATAATAAATTATATATAAAGCTTTGTAAATCAACATTAAAAACAAAGTATAAACATTCAACAAATATTAAATTATCGGTCAAGTTTCTAACTAATGAACTCTATCAAGTTTCTAAAATTAGATTCAATGTTTATAATGACACATTACAAAGACAACTCAAACAACATCTCCATATTACAATACCATAGTTTGAATTCTTTAAGATATAATTTATCCTTAAATAAATCTTTACAATGATCAAATCCTTTACAGTATAAAAATTCAAGATGTTCTATGAAAGATAAAGATAAAACAAATTGTTGAAAATCTATACTATCAATTACTAATACTTTTAAAGTTTCTATTCGAAATTCCAATTCCAAATTAGAAACTTTAATTAATATATTTTCTATAAAGGTTGTAATTTGATAATATCCAAATATTGTTTTGTGAATGCACTATTCGCTTATGGACCGTCTCCTGACAGGACATTCACCTTAATGGTATTCTGATGTTTTTCATCATCGGTTATTAAATCTAAATTAAATATTGATCCAGGTTCATAATTTGTAAAAGTGGAACCTTTAGGTAAGCCAACAAAATTTTTCTGTGTTGCATTTACTTCAAATTCCTGAAAAGTTGTACTTTTTCTAATAATCATATGATATATTTTTTGAATCCTACTTGATAATTCAATCTTATTATAGAGGGAATTAATGATCATGTGCTTGTCCTGGGAATAAAATTGTTTTTCTCTCTTATCAAGAAAATAGAGTATGTTACTAGAACATTCAGTAGGTAAAGACATGATTTTTTTAAAAAAAAGTAGGAGCAAAATTTGAGTTGACAGTTGACGCACAAATTGACATTTTATAGCGTCTAAGGTGGTACCAGAGAAACCTATAAGGTTAGAGACATTTTGTTGATCATGTCAATTAATACCTTTGTTAGATTTTTAATAAATTATATGATTTTATTTAACTGTAACATATTTATCCCCCTTCCCCTTTAATAATTACGTAATAGATTTCCTTATTAATAAAACAGATGTTGTTCTCCTTATACGAATGTTTGTTTGTCAAATAATCGTTGATAAAAATTGGATAACTATTCTCCACGGTCTATAAAAAATTTCTAATATTGTGTTTGGTTAAATAAATAAATATATTTTATTGTTTCCGCTAATGTTCTACAAAAATATTTTATTATTTTCTTAGTTTTAGAAACTTTACATGGAATAAACCTCTTTAACAAAGAAAACAATTTATAAATTCTATAGATTCATCGGCAATAATAGATTATTTTAAATAATATTTATCGTAATAATATGAATAATGTGATATATATATAATATAATTTAACATAAGTATGATTACTATAATTACTATATTTTTTTTTTTTTTTGAAACATTTAATTAGAAAAAATTTTGTCCATTAAAACTTGTTTTCCATGAGAGAAATTTTTTTTTTTTACTAAAAAAATTCAAATTGCGTTTTAATTACTATTAATATTTTTTTGAAACTTTTAACATTCCCCTAATAATATTTTTTACCGGAGAAGTTTAAAAGATTTTGCCTTAACAGTTAACAATGGAATAATTATTAAAATTCACTTACCCTATTTAGATTTGACTTACTACTCTTAACATACCGGTTTTATTCCGGAAATCCGTTATGATATAAATTTAAAAGTGTTTCGCATTGCGTTCATATCAATGTGTTAAAGTTTCCAATAAGCTTCATTAAAATAAATGATTTCATTTTTTTTTTTTTTAGAAAAAAAAAATATATTCCGAATAGACATTAATATTGCCGAATATGGAACATAAGGAACATCTGAATTTGGTCTCAATGAAAAAAAAAAAAATACTTTTTTTAAAAAAAGAAATAACCCGGGAAAATATGAAGATTTATCCACAAAAATCATGTCATATTACATCAGATGAAACGAAAATATAAAGATGATCAATTTTTTTACGGGAAAATAGAAGTCCATTAATAAAATATTGATTTTTAGTACTCATAATTAGAAAATGTTTTAACTAAATTCATAGTATAAAAAAAAAAGTTTAAATTTTTAATGTTTAGTAATTATAATTGGCAAATGATTTAATTACTACTACGACTTTCTATGATTTAATTATATATTAAATAATAAGTTATAATGTTAGTAAACTTGCTAGATATTTTTAATTATTAAATAATAAAATGTACTTCTTACTCAAAACATCTATTAACCAGAAGTTAATAAAATTTTTATAGTTATGATTGGTAAATGATTTATTATTATTGAATAATTAACGTATACTTTTTATCATATTTTAAAAAATATTGTATACTGACTTTTAAGAGTATATTCATATGCTTTAATTTCATATCCTAAAAATACAAAATGAAATTAGAATTTACTTAAGTTACACGCATTTAAATATCTATATATACCTGGTTGCCGAATACTAATCTGCAATTCTAAGATACATAGTTATTAGTTTAGTATATTAGATCAGTTTTAACTATAAAAGTGAGATTATTTGATTAATATTAAAAAGTCATTAAGGATTTAATAAAAATTCCGCCGGAATTAAGTTTTTTTACTTGTACAATCTAATTTTGGCCAGAATCTGATTATTTTTACTGCACTAGATTGTGTCATACATATCAGATAGTACAGTCAAACCTCGATGTACCGATATTCTATATACCGATAAATGGTCTATACCGATAAATTTCAATTATCCCATTTCATAATTAATAAAAAAACCTTGTTGTACCGATATTATATATAGTTTCGCAATGTAACATGTAACGATACTCTTTCTTTGTCTCTTTATAGTAAAGTATAATAAAGAAGTACCGATAATTTAGGTTACACTGGTTTTAATTTGGGCTGGCACTATAGGTTTGGCCCGAGTTAAAAAAATTGTAAACTTATAATTCGAGCGTCTGGCCAAAATAATATTTTTTTGGTTTTTCGTAGTGCGAACCAGAATTAGAAATTTTGGCCCGCATCATAATATATATGTACAGAATACCGATACTTTTTCCCAGTATCGGTATATCGAAGTTTGACTGTATATATTATATATGATTTAATCACAAATTAAATATTCGCGTTTGCACCTCAGGTTGTAATCTGAAATGCCGTAATTATTACTAACGGCCAGTTACTTTAATGGATAGTAATCGTTGTCAGTAAAATTTTAATTCTGAAAAAAAATCAAATTAGAATTTTTGTATTTAAATTTGTTTTAAATATTGTACAGTGCATCCAAAATCTTAATAATGAATATTTAATGTATATTAGGTGATATAAAATTGGAAAATGTATTGCTCAAACTCTTTTAAAAGAAAGGTACTGTATAGTTTTATTTCAAAACAAAAGCTAACAGGTAAAATAACTTTAGTGATTTTGGTTATATAATTTTACTAAACTTATAGGTTTATTTCTATATGATATATATGTATGTATACGTTGTATGAATACCGGAACTTAGCCAGCATTACGAAATCCTAGTCCGACACTATGCTTTAATTCTGGCAAACATCCCGTATCCACATAGATTCCGTTTCCACTTACAACATATATATGTAGAAACATTCTTATAAATGATGGTTGACCTAATAGATAGTAATGATATTTTTTTTTTTTATTTAATCCGTACAACAAGTACATTAATTATTTTTTAATTGTATCAACAATATTTTATACATTTAGAACTTCAAATTATAAATAAATGTCATATATATATTTAATAAAATGTTAAATGTTCCTTTAGTAAAATAACAATAATAAACAAAAATACTCTATAAAATATGTTGCAAATAATTATGGATCTAATATAAACTTATATTTGCATAATTTACCGATCCTTTTCATGTAATTCGTTAACAGTCAAGATTTAAAATAATTATGAAACATCCAATAATCTTGAACGATTATTAATTAAATCATTATAAGCCTTGTTCAAATCTATATAATAAAGAAAGGATAAAAAAAGTTAATAGTTTAAATAATTTCATTATTAATTTATAAATCACTTTACCGTCTAAAGAAAATTTGTAAGTTTGTGTATTATATCTAGAATCTAATAATATAATGAAATTACTTAATTACTGTATTATAATTATTTCCTTTTTTTAAAAAAAATAAATATATTAAAATAAATAAATACCTTCTACTTCATTAAATTTATTATCGTTGACATCATCATCTTTATGAATTAAAAAAAAAATTGGAAAAATTTTAATAACTTATTTTTATATAGCAATTATTAAATCTAACTTACATGATCCTCTTCCTAATAAATTAAAATAAGCAATATTTTATTAATTAATTATTAGTAAACAATTAAATAATTAAATTATAATGTAAAAACTTACGAGCTATAAAATGTAGTATAAAAAAGGTTAAAGTATGTGTTAGCAAATAATTTAATTATTAAACAATAAGTTATAATGTAATAAACTTACTATCTTTAAAATATAATATAAAAAAAGTTAAAAAATTGATGTTAATAGTTATATTAGAAATAATTTAATTATTAAACAATAAGTTATAATGTAATAAACTTACTATCTTTAAAATATAATATAAAAAAAGTTAAAATATTGATGTTAATAGTTATATTAGAAATAATTTAATTATTCAACAATAAGTTATAATGTATATAGGCTTACCTCCTATAAAATGTAATATAAAAAAGTTAAAATATTGATGTTAATAGGTATGCTAGCAAATAATTTAATTATTAAACAATAAAGTTATAATGTAAATAGACTTACTTCCTATAATAAAATTACTTCCTATAAAATGTAATATAATAAAGGTTAAAATATTGAAATTAGTAGTTATAATAATTTAATTATTAAACAATAAGTCAAAATAAAAACTTACGAGCTATAAAATGCAGTATAAAAAAAGTTAAAATACTAATGTTAGTACTTATGTTAGCAAATAATTTAATGAGTTATAATGTAATAAACTTACAATCTATAAAATGTAATATAAAAAGTTAAAATATTGAAATCGGTAATTATATTTGCAAAATAATTTTAATTAAACAATAAGTTATAATGTAAATGACCTTACCGCCTATAAAATGTAATGTAAAAAATTAAAATATTATTGATGCTAATATTTATGTTAGCAAATAATTAATTATTAAACAATAAGTTATGATATAAATGGACTTACTATCTATAAAATGTAGTATAAAAATGTCAAAATATTGATGTTAGTATTTATGTTAGCATATGTTAGCAAATAATTTAATTATTAAACAATAAGTTATAATGTAACAGACTTACCATCTACCGTTTAACAATTAGTGAATAATAGTTTATTAGTATTCGTTATAATCATTTTAAACCTGAAGTTTTAATACTAATTATATTACCATTATATTCATAATAATCATCAGAATTTTTTGGTCCAGGAAGATTATTAAAATTAAGTAAAAGAGCTTCCGAGATAAAATGTAATATAAAAAAGGTTAAAATACTGAAATTAGTAGACATATTAGCAAATAATTTAATTAATAAGTTATAATGTAATAAAACTTACAATCTACAAAAGGCAGTATAAAGAAGGTTAAAATATTGATGTTAGTAGTTAAATTAGCAGACAATTTTAATTATTAAACAATAAGTTATAGTGTAATAAACTTACCAACTATAAATGTAATGTAAAAATTAAAATAATATTGATGTTAGTATTTATATTAATAAATAATTTAATTATTAAACGATAAATTATAATATAACTTAATTTATTAAATAATAAGTTATGATGTAAATAAACTTACCATCTATAAATTGTAGCATAAAATGTTAAAATATTGATGTTAATAGTTATGTTAGCAAAATAGTTTAATTAATTGAACGATAAGTTATAATGTAGAAAACTTACCATCTAATAATGTGGTATAAAAAAAAAATTAAAATATTGATGTTAATAGTTAATTAGCAACTGATTTAATTATTAAACATTAAGTTATGATGTAAATAGCTTACCACCTATAAAATGTAGTATAAAAAGTTAAAGTATTGTGTTAGTGGTAGTAGTTATGTTAACAAATAATTTAATTATTATATGTAATAAACTTACTATCTTTAAAATGTAATATAAGAAAGTTAAAAAATTGATGTTAATAGTTATTATATTAGCATTATTAAACAATAAGTTATAATGTAAATAACCTTACCAACTATAAAATGTAATGTAAAAAATTAAATATTATTGATGTTAGTATTTATATTAGCAAATAATTTAATTATTGATAATATAAATTAACTTACCATCTATAAAATGTAGTATAAAAAAAGTTAAAGTATTGATGTTAGTATTTATATTATCAAATAATTTAATTATTTAACAATAAGTTATGATGTAAATAAACTTACCACCTATAAAATGTAATAAATATAAAAAAAGTTAAAATATTGAAATAGTACAAATTTAATTATTAAACAATAAGTTATAATGCAAATAAACTTACTTTCTTTAAAATGTAACATAAAAAAGGTTAAAGTATTGAAATTGATAAAATAATTTAATTATTAATAAAAATAAGTTATAATGTAATAAAACTTACCATCTATAAAATGTAATATATAATAAAGGTTAAATATTGAAATTAGTAGTTATATAGCAAATAATTTAATTATCAATAATAAACTTACGTGCTTTTTTAAAATGTAGTACAAAAAAGTTTGGTGTTTAGTAATTATGTTAGCAAATAATTTAATATTAAGTAACAAGTTATAATATAATAAACTTACGAACTATAAAATATAGTATAAAAATGTTAATTTTTATTGAATGATTGGTTAATTAGTATTCAGTATAATGCCCTATTTAAACATTGATTATGCTCGGGTTATTTATATGGATCATGGAAAAATTGGCCAAATTTAGCCTAATTCTACTACACATTATACCCGGATAATTTTAGTAATTAAATTATAATGTACTTACTTGTAGGAACTACAGTATAAACCAAAAGTTTAAAGTTTGATATTTAGTATTATTGAATGGTTTGTATTTGTTTCGTATTTTAAAAGTTCTGTATACTGACCTTCGAGAGTATAGTCAAACGCTTTGGTTTCATACTCTAAAATATAAAATGAAACTTAAATTATTTACATTTAAATGCCTATACTATAAAATAAACATTGTACCTGGTTGAATAATACTCGTTACAGAATTAGGTTGTGATGATAATTCTATATCTACAGAATTATTATTATTTATCATAACTGTATTTTCTTCCTTTGGATAATAAGTTGAAGCCATATTAAGATTATCATTTGCTCTAATGTCATACCCTAAAAAAATTTCAATATTAATAATATTTATTTTAAGTTATAGTGTATTCAAATTATTATTCATGTTTTTACCTGTATTAACACTACTACCAGTTACAAAATTAGATTCAGATAATGATGAATAACGAGTAAATGTTGAAAATATAATACTATCAACCGCTTTACATAGACCTATCATTTCTTCAAATAATTTCGGTAAAAGAGAAGCATCAGGTCTTTTTAATGGATCAGAACTCCAACATTGCTCCATAATGTTAGCATAAAATTCTGGTGTTCCCTTAACAATTTCGGGCCTCAGCGGTTTCAGTTCATCAAGAACTTCAAGCGCAAGACCTGCGTCATGATGTTTATTTGAAAATGGAGGTTCATCTGAAGTTAATTCCCACATTATCATACTTAAACTATACACTTCTGATTGTTTTGTATATGGTTTACATCTCAGAACTTCGGGAGCGATATAAGGCAAAACTCCTTGAATACTATTCGAAGCTTTTAGTAAAGCAAAAATATAATTTTATTAGTTATATTTATGAAACAAAAAATCGTTTTCTTTAATTTTTACCTATTTCAGAGTCAATTGGTTGACAAAGTCCAAAATCACTTATAAAAATTCTATCATCTTTGTCTACTAAAATATTTTTACAATGGAAATCCTTATGAACTAAATTCATTTGATGGATTGAAGTTAAAGCCTTTGATAGTTCAATAAGAATATTTGCTCTATAAGTCCAAGTTAATTTTGGAAAAACTTTACGAATATAATTTCGTAGATCTCCATTCTCTGCATATCTTATTACCATGGCATATTCCTTTCCTACAGGTGCTTTTGCTATCCCATAGAATGGTATAACTCTAGGATTACGACATTTATGGTGAATTTTAAGCTAAATAAATCATAATAGTTAATTATTATATTTATGTTTTCTTTTTTTTTATTTCATTTTCCTTACCTCGTTTAGGATATGATCATTGATATTATCAGAATCATTAATGACTTTTAAAGTAACTTTAGAAGATAATTGGTTTGAAGCTAAAGACGTGTTTAACAATAAATTCCAAGTTCCAAAATAAATTTTTGAATTTCCTCCATTTGTTAAATATTGTATATTTTCTAAATTTGAATGTGGAACCCATTCAATAAAATCATCACAATATTTTGAATTTAGTTGAGTTTCTTTAATAAATTCGTCTAGTATAAAACTCCCGCTTGTCTTATTATCAATCAATTTATTTTTAGGTAATTTAGACTTAGTCTTAAATAATTTAACTATATATAATTTGACTTTAGAAAGTTTGTTTATTTTACTTTTTTGTATGCTTTGAGGTTTATTTACTTGCGCAGAAAGAAGAAATTTTCTTCTACAAAGTTTTTTTAGATAATTTATTATTTTTTGATTACATTGCGTACAAATGGTATCATATTCTGGATCTTCTAGCTCATTCATGCTACTTAATTTCTAATAAAGAATATATCAATTTTCAGCAAGAAATTTATTAATTTATATATTTTATTGTCGTTTAATGATCGAGCATATAAGGAACTCTTAAAAATCGGTTACATTACATAGTGCATGCATACACTTGCATGCATAATACATAAAATCAGCCAATTTTTGGATCGGGTCCTGTTTGAACTGGTTAAGACGTTAAGAATTTTAGTTTTGGTCGGAATTAAGAATAAATTTTCGGTTAATTCTGTTATATTACTAGGAAACGAAAACCGTTATCAAGCCCGAAGCGCAGTTATCATTGCATATCATCACGTGCGGTACGGATAACTGTACATTTGTAATAGTAAATAGATCTTCGTTACACTTCGGATAATTAGATAAATAGCTAAATTGTATGAAAGAGGATTCAAACAAATATAACAGGTAACTTCGAAAAAATATTTGATCAAGTAATTCATGTATGCATTGATATAAACAATAAATTGCTTTATCAAAATTCATTTGCGCTGTTTATAGTAACTATATATTATCAAAAATATATATATATATATACAGTATATATAAATACAATACAGTATATTTATTAATAATAACGTTTGTGTTGAAGCCATGCATGGAATTTAATATAGAATTTGCGATAATTTCGTTGATAAACCAAAAAAATATTATTCCTATATTTCTCGATTGGTTAAATAGATCATTTGTGTTATAAATTAGTAAATACAATCGGTTATTATAATGCTTACATAAAAATATGTGAATTATTTTTCGAGAGAATTATCATCTTCTTTAGTAGAAACTAGTATTGAAGTAAGAAGACATTATTAGTAATTTTTTTTTTATAAAATTTTAAAGTAAAAAATTATATTTTTTATAAATTCAACTTCTTTCTCTATATCATCTTTTTATCGTTTGAATTTGACAGATCATCAGATCATTAACCATTATCTTGAGACGTCAACATATAAATAAATTATATAAATCTTTACAAAATGTACATATAAATTAATTAGTACCTTGATAACGCCCGATAGATTTTTTGTTTTTCTGATTTTGAATAAGTAGGATGACATATAGTTGTGATCTATCCGCCACATTTCGTTTCGAAGCCAACGAATGTTTCTTACAATTTAATGAGCGTGCGCAAGGCGTATTATCAGGTGGCGCAATTGAACGTCCAATTTTGGAAATTTCTTGCAACCTTTATTACGTCTCATAATTTTTTTCTTATTGATCTTTCTAAAAATTTTTAATTTTTGGATAATAATTTTTATTTTGTTTTAATGGTTTAGAAGCTTCAGACTTACAAAAAATTTTTAAGAATGTTTAAAAATAATACAGAATTGTATCTCTCAGTATATAAACGTATCTTTCAATATAAAAAATGTATCTACTTTTTTTATAGGAATGCATTCTTTTTATTTTCTTTATCTACAGTATGTTTTTTTATAAACATTATATATATATATTTAATTTGAGGATAGCAAGAATGTTAAAAATATTTATTTTGTTTATGGAAGATATTGCGTACATATTTCGACCATCTTGTTATTTTTGTGGCGCTAATGATGTTTTTTTTTATGTTGATATTGTCTAAAGTCATAGTTAAAAATGTGAAAAAATTCATAGAATTAAAATAAATATATTTTTTGAAAGAAATGTCAAAAAATCACCACCGGTGATTGCCACCACCAGTGATTTATCACCGATCACAATTCATACGTCATCATCACCTTTAGTAAGTTCATAATTTCATTAAATAAATTATTTCTTTTTTTTTTAATTTTATTCAAAAAAAAAATTAAAATTTCAATAAATTATTTTATATATATTTTTTAGAGTTCTTTCCTCCTTTTCATTATCCACGTTCGCGTGCATGTTAGATAATTCATTAGGTAAGTTATAAAATTATATATGTATCGAAATTTTATTTTTGCAAATTAAGCTCATTATTTTACTATAACTACTACACAATTGCAATTATAAAGATTTAGCTAGCATCTGTAGTTTGCATATATTACAATTTCTAAAAAAAAATCGGGAATGTTCTCTCCAATCTCAGCGAAGCTTTCTAAATTCGTAGCCTAATAAAGGACTACCAAAGTAAATTATAAATGTATAATTATAATAATACCCATATTACCAGATTGTATCAATAGAATTTATACATCAACTTCATTTAATCTATTTAATCTTTCTTATTAATTTCAATTTATAGTGGTGGAAAATTTTATACAAATCAAATAGTATTATTGTCTTGTCCATATTACAGACTTAACTCAAGATCATGTGAGAAACTATTTATTATATAACTTTTTTGATTAATTTTTAAAAATGCTTTTTTTCTCAAAGTTTCAAAAACATTTGGTAATCCAGCGCTTTAAATTCTAAGACACTAGGAAAAACAAATTTTTATAGTAGTAGCGTTGGTTTATTACTCAGTATCTAAAATTAGCTTGCGAAACTTATATTAAATAAGCACATACGGATTCCGCAATAAATTTTCAGAAATTCCACATTTCCTTAAAGAAATTCGAGGAAATTCGAGTTTGAAAATATGCATGATTAATAATTGTATAAAATGATAATATTTTAAGATTTTGGATGTCAAAATACATAACTTCTCTATTATAACCTTATGTAAAAATTTTAGTTAAATGGATTAAATGGATTGGTATTACAGGAAGGCTGACTAATTCAAATTGTTGTTGGTAAATTTTTTTTCATTCAGTATTTTTATGACGAATTTTTATGGAAAGTCAATTAAATAATTTTCTATAAATAACTATATTAAATATTTCAATGTTTAGTATTGACTTATTTTTTTTTATAACGTAAATTATAAAAACAAATTAATTTTCAAATAATAAAAAAATTCTAAAATTTAATAAATTTGTCAATACAAATATAAATGTTAATTTCGACGGTCTGTTTAAAAAAGAATATATTTAAAAAATAATCATAAGAGCGGTTTTTTTTTAAAATATCACATTTCTATGATATTCATTCATTTTTATTAATATATATTAAATTTTCATTAAGCAAAACTTTATAGTAAAAAAAAAAAAAGTCCAGGCGTGCGCACAAGTCTTTCTCTCTCGTTACCACCTGAATGCATTTTCAAATGTAGTCAATTTAGACGTAAATTTTAAACATAAAATATCTAATAATTCAAGAAAAAATAAACTCATCATCCACCTCGAACAATTCAATGACATGTTGCACTGTAATACATGGTTTTTCTTTTAATTTAACAGGCTCCGAGATAATCTAATATAATTCTTTTACAAAAAATTTTTTCATCTTTTTTGATAGGAAACAAATAGTAATTTAATTAATGTCTTTCAAATCTTAAGATTATAATGTTACACTAAAATGGTTAAATAATGATGCTGCAGGTTTGTGGCACAGCTAGAGGCCCCGAAAATATTCCTGCTTTCCGGGTTAACCGCAATGCCGATCATCTATAATTCTGTCCGAAATTACACGTGAAGTTGTCGGAAAAAAACGGTACAAATAAAATTTTTGGTATGATTTTAAACATAATAATGTAATAAACGAGTTTTTACCTATTTTGCAAGTCTACTTTTGGCGGTAAAAATTACGGGCAATCCTAGCATTAAAATTCAGTTTACAACAGGATTTCAAACTGCTTTTTATAATTTTTGAAAATAACGATCGTCATTAGAGACAGAATTATATAAAGCTTGGTTAAATTATCTATTTTTATCTCTTTTATTTCCTTCAAATAATTAATTATTTCTATGCGAAACTTCATCTTATTGTACATTAATATTAATAATATTAAACTTTTTTCAAATTTTTTATTAGGAAAAGCACTTAACTTTAATAAATTTAATCTTATAATACTGACTTGAATTTAAACCGTATTTGTATGATTTTGAAGTAAATTCTTCTAATAATTTTTCGTTCAATTATTTCATTGCTTCTTAGATTAACTTCTCTTTTATTATCTTTTGTAAATTATAATCGTTTTTATACTGCGAGAATTTATTGTTGATCATGTGTTATCTCTGTTATACAGGTTACACAGATGCACAAATTGCATAAATTTACGCATAATAATAATATATTTGCATAACAAATCGTGAAACTGTCTACTTGTCTTACAATTTTCTCATTTTTAAAAATTTTAAGACCCTTTTTTTTTACAAAATTTATAAATTCTAATTATGAATGATATTCGAAAAGATGTTGTTTGGGCTGCTTTTAATAAAGCATATGCATTATTGGATCCCACTATAGATAATTTGGATAAAGAATATGAATTTAAAAAAAAAATTGTTCTTACTGATGAATCTCTTACAGAAGATGAAAAATCAGAAGTAATAAAAATGTTGAATAAAGATTATGACGATCATAAAATTATAAATAATGAAGGAACAAAAAGAATTTGTGAAAATTGTCAAGATGAATGTTTAGCTACATTATATTGTGAACATTGTGTTCGAAATTATTTAAAAGAAAATTTTTCAAATTGGACATCTGGAAATAATGATATTGATAATTTGATACAAAAATATCAAATGGAAATGTATGATCCAGAAAGGATTGTTGAATGGATCCCATATAATAATTTACAAAATATCAAATATTTAACTAAAGGTGGATATTCTGAAATTTATACAGCAGTTTGGTTATGTGGATGTTATTATGAATGGGATTCTAAAGAAAAACAATTAACAAGATTAGGTGATCAATATGTAATACTTAAAGAGTTAGAGAATGTTGAAAATGCTAATAGAAGTTGGTTTGAAGAGGTATGTAATTAAAAATATCTTGTATTATTATTTTGAAATTTATTGACGATTTCTATATAAATTTTTTTTAGAGCAAATCTCATTTAACTATAAGTAACAAATGGACAGACGTAGTAAGATGTTATGGTTTAACAAAAAATCCATTAAGTGGAAATTATATGCTTGTAATGAATAATATGGATATGGATTTAAGAACATATCTGAAACAAAATCATAATAAACTTATGTGGAAAGAAAGGATACATATTGCTTATGATATAATAGATGGAATTGACACAATTCATAAAGAAAATGCGATACATAGAGATTTGCATTCTGGTAACATATTAAAAAAAAGACAAAGGTATTATATTAGTGATCTTGGATTTTGTGGACCTGTTGATAAACCATTAAATAGTGTTTATGGAAATCTTCCTTATATAGCACCAGAAGTAATTAATGGAAAAAAATCAACTTTTGCATCTGATATTTATAGTATTGGTATACTTATGTGGGAAATTTCATCTGGACAACCACCTTTTATTAATTATGAATATAATTATGATCTTGCAATGAAAATAGTAAATGGAATGAGACCAAAAATAATACCAGGAACTCCTTTAGAATATAAAAAATTAATGGAACAGTGTTGGAATGCTGATTTAACAAAGAGACCTGATGTCTATACATTATGGAAAGAAGTAAAGAAATTATTATTAAAATTTCAAAGCTATCAAGATGAAAGCCAAAAACAAATAATTTCCAATCAACATCAACAATTAAGTAATTGTTATTTAGTAAACTCAATTGATTCAATAAACAAAAATTATACTAGTAAAACTTATCAATTTGAAAATTTCCCTGAACCAAAAAATGCAACAGAAGGTAATAAATAATATTGCTTTGAAATATTTATTATGTTTAAAATAATATGCTAACATTAATTTCTTTTTATTTAAATAAAAATACAAATAGAAGAACAAGAAGGTATAACATATATGCAATAATTTTTAAATAATAGTGTTTAATTTAAATTAAATATCTTTTATATATTTTATAGTATTCCATAGTAAACCTTATAGTTTTAATATTCCTAATAATAGTAAGTATTTTTGGTTCTAAATTAAATATATAACTACAACATTGCTAATTATTTTCTTTATTTTTAGTTGATGATATTATTAATAATTCAAGTAATGGGAAAAATATTAACACAAAATCAAATAGTATATATAAAGGTAAAATTTTTACTATTTAAATTTAAAATTACTATAAAATAATAATTAATTGACTTTTAATAATTTTTACAGCATTTGGGAAATTAGAAATCAATTCAGATTATAGTAAGTAAATTATTATTATACTAAATTACTTATAGTTTTATTAGATCCAATATTATTTATATTAAATATAATCATTTTTTATAGATAATCAAAATGATTATGGAAAAGAAACTTCTGTACAACAAACAAAGAAGCATCCTTTGAATATAAATGGTACAAAACTTTATAACATATTATTATAATTGAAAGCAATAATTTATTAATTTTATTTTTATTTTATAGATGATAATGACATATATGATAATTCAAATTCTCATTTAGAAAAGCAAGATAATTTAAAAACTTCTAATGGTAAAGTTTCTAAGAAAATTAAAACATCTTAAAATTTATTTTTAAATTATCTCAATATTTTTTCCCGATTTTTTTTTTAAAAAAAATTATGTATTATTACATATTTTTTTTTTTTACTTTCAATTATTAAACACTAAGACTAGAGTAATGAGATAACTTGTAAATTTCTTAGTTTGTAATTAAATAACTTATTTCTTTTTATCATCTATTATTTGTTCAATTTAAAGATTTTGCAATAATAAATGGGTGCCAATTGCTGAAAAACAAATTACTCAGACACAAAATCGATTACATCCAGATACTGCACAAGCATATCTATGTGTGAAATCATGGTTAGAACGAAAAAATATTGAAGTTTATAAAAATTTAGTTATTCAATTATTGGTTAAACAAAAATAAGTTATATAAATAAACATTGGTATTTGTTTTTCAATTTTTTATTATTTGTTTAGCGTAATGCATGTAATCATTTTATTATCCTCAGTGAATTATAATAAATATATTTTTTTGAATTTTCGAAATAGTTTATTTGAAATATTTTTAGATACCATTCTTGTTGTTATTGAACATTTATTTCAAATATTCTTACAATTGAAGGGTTTGTTCTGAATCATTTTTTAAAAAAAAGGATTAATAATGATATAAATAAATAAATAATTTAATAGTATATGTTGGGAGACTGTAATCCTAAAAAAGACTGCCGGTCTTATTAGTTTATTACATAATCAGTTAGTACCTTAACTCTAGAGAGTTAAGAGACTGCGTCTTATATGGTCTGGTCTTTTTGCATGTAGGATCAGAGAGGACCGTGGTCTTTAGGACCATTGACCATCTTTAATTATAATTAAAAAAGGTTTCTTAACGTTTTTTAATTAATTATAATAAAAAAAATGCCAAACCGTTTTTTTGCATTTGATTACTAAGAAAAAATGTTTTCAGTATTTTTTTTATATAAATTTTAGGAAAAAAATGACAATTATTTAGTGTAAAGAAAATGTCTCAGCATTTTCTTTTTTAATAATTTTTAACTTCAGGTTAACAAGTCAATCGGGTCAACCTGACGGGTCACCCAAATTGACCTAACCTGTTCGTAACACTAAATTTATTCCTATGGTTGGCAAGTCATAAATTAATTTTTTTTTATTTTAATATCTAATAAATAATTTAAAAAAATATATTGAAAAATTATATAAAAAAAATATAGTATAGATTATAAAGGAAAATTAAAAATATTTGAAAAATAATTTTTGATTTTAGAAAAAACAACCCGAAAAAGGAAAGGGTGAGTTGGAAAACCTGAAAAATTTTGTTTTTAATAGAAAAAGGAAAAAATTAAAAAAAAAATTGGTTTTAAAAAAAAACAATAAAAAAAATAAAAATAATAAAAATAAAAAAAAATGAGTTGAAAAAAATTGTTTTAAAGGACTGGAAATGAAATTTATATAAAGTAATTTTAGTAATTACAAGTTTCAAATTAGCTAAGTCTTATTTAGTATAGGTTTCAACATAAATTTAATAGAAAATAGATACTTTGTTGATATACTGTATGTATATATGGTGAATATGGGTTTGATTACAATGTAATTGGTTCAGTACTAATAAAGTCTACATTTAAAAAAAAAAAAAAAATATTGAGGGTAAAAAGTATTAGTAAAAAATAATCCTAAATTTACAATAAGAAATAAAGGAACGAAAAAAGGTACTTACCATTGCCTGCAGCACCAATCCGATTACCCGATCTAGACCTAAATGGTGAAAAATTCAGTTTAAAAAAAAAGCCTAATAAAGGCGTTTAATAATAATAAAAAAAAGAAAGGAAGAATTTACTTTATCTTTCCAATTAAAGAGAATTTTGATATAGTAATGGACTAATGTATTGATAAAGGTAAAACATATAACATGAATCATAATATAAATCAGAATTATTCAAAATTATTAAAACAAACTTGCAATATAACAAAACTAGTTTTCAGTAATATAGAAGAATTTGAAGAAAGTGGCACTGGAGAATTTAAAAAGTAGGAATTTGAAGGAAGTGACACCAAGGAATCTAAAGGTATATCAAACAAGCTGAAACATTAAATTTTTATTTATAAACAATTCTTGACAAAAATTTTAAAATTTTGTCATGTTAACATCAAATCAATATTTGTTAACATATAAGTTAAAATTTTGTGATCAGTATTTTTTAACACTGGCCAAAATTATAAACCGGCATTTGTAACTCCGGCCAAAATGTAATTTTTGGCCGGAATTAGGGATTGGAATCGATTAATCGAAAATCGACAAAACATAGTAAAATCGATTCTCGAGAATCGATTCTCAGCAATTTTTTACATATAAGTTAACCTGACTTCAAAGTAATTTTCATGCCGGCCACGTGCTGATTATTTTTGCTGAAATTAGAAACTGATTCAATGTCAGGTTGGTCGTCTATAAGAAAAATCTTGAAAAGATTCGATTTTCGATTCCAATCCCTAGCCGGAATTAAGTGGTGAAAAAAAAGAATATATATTTAATATTTGGATAAGCCATATAAAAAAGAATTATATAAATTACAAACTGGTAAGATTTAGCAATACCCAATATGAATAAAGGCCTAATCACATAATTTTCAACAATCACCACACATCAACCTAATCTAGTTTATATTTTATAATTGAATAAGTTAAGAAAAATCAAGATTTATTTAAATTACAAACTAAGAATTTTGTAAAATATTCATAAAAAAAAAAAAGAATATATATATTTAATATTTGGATAAGCCATATAAAAAAGAATTATATAAATTACAAACTGAATTATAAAACTAACATAATATTAAAATCATTTTGCACATATTTCTTTCAATAATTTCTCTAATTCCTTTAATTTCTCTAACTCCTCTAATTTATCTAGTTTTTCATCATGAGATTTTAATTTCTCCAATATTACTTCATTATTATTTTCTTTCAATAATTTCTCATGGGATTTTAATTTCTCCAATATTGCCTCATTGTCAATAGGATTATGTTCAATTTCAAGTTTTTTTAATAAAATATTCCGCATCTCTGTGAATTCCTTTGTATTCCATTCACCCTCTTTAATCAATCTTTGAACTTCTCCTCGAGTCTTATCAAAATCGGCATAATAATGTCTTGAAAATAAATTTGAATAATTAATAAAATTAATAAAATTATAACATTAAATTTTTTTTAAAAGTAAAACTACATACATTACTTCAGGAAACCATGTTCGCCAACGTCTCTGATGTGGTAATAGGTAAAATAACTCAATCTCAGCCAAAATCTTCAAAAATGAAATCAAGATATATTAGTATATTTACAGAAATGAAATGTTTAATAATAATATTATTTACCTCTGCCTTCTGCATCAAATATGAGACTCTATTATTATCTTCTTCAATTGCATAATTGAGTAATCCAATTAACAAGTTCATAAGATATACAACAACTAAAAGGGAAAATAAAACAATCAATACTGCAATTGATGGATTTTCTGTATATGTCCAATTGGATAATGCACTTGAATCACCTATTGATAAGAAGAATTGCTTAAAAATATTAGAAAATATCATATATATTTACATAACTATGAAAAATTAAAATATACCTATTAAAAATAAATATATAGCAAAAAGGGAAGTTTTAATATAAATAAACATGTTTGTATTTCCATCAGGAATTTGAATCATAAGTGGATTTGAATTTATATTTCCATTATTATCAATATGACTATAACTAGGAGCTAAATTCCAAGGATTATTTGGATCATAATTATTATTTGTATTATATTGTTCAAGTGAAAATTCAGATTTTGGTGATAATAAAATATAAAATGCATGTGCAAAACTTATTATAATAATGAATAAGAGTAATAAAAAAGATAAAATCTTTTTTCCAACACTAATAATTATTGCAAAATATACACCAAAATATTCAAATGCTCTAAAAAATAACAAAAATTTTATATCCAAAAACAAGCATGAAAAAGAAAGCAATTGAATTAGATACTTATTATTGTTCTTATCATTTGTTTGAAGCCAATAAATAGAAGTGTAAATTGAAAGCACAAAAGCAATTATGTCTGCAATAATAAAATATTATATAATTAATTTCTTTTCTTAGAACAATAGTAAATAAACATTTATATTTACCAAAAATATTCCAAAAATTATAGAACCACTTAATAATATTATAAAAAAATTGACGAATTTCTAAAATCAGATGAATAAATCCAAGTATAATCGAAGCAATAAAAAGTTGTTGTCTAACTTCTTCATTAATATATTACTGAGGAAATGTTGCAGCAGTAGTAAAGCATCCAAGCAAAACCATAAATAAAATCCAAATCATTGCATAATAATATTTTCCATAAGCATTCCATTTAAAATTAATTAATGCTTCACCATTCCATGTTTTATAAATATTTCTATTTATTGTTTCAGTGAATGGACTAGGTTGAGGTCTAATTAATTCTAAAAACCAATTATAATCTTTTGAATAATTAACAAAATTAATATAAGGAATCATAAAAGTAATTGTTGGTGTCGTTGTTACATATTTTTTAAAAATTTTTTTATATTTTCTTTCAGTTTTGAAATAAATACGAGAAAATAAATCTACATCGTAAATATTATTAATAAAATTGTATTTTGATAAAATATAAAATGTAATCAAATAAAGGGGTAAAGTTAAAAGTATTATTAAAGCTTGCAAAATATTAATAAAAATTAGTATTCCTAAATCAAAAAAATAAAATTGGCATTTTGTCCATAAAAGAGATTTCGATAAATTAGCTATTTGAGGAGATTGAAAAAAAGAATCAAGATGTAAATTTTTATTTTGATGCTCTATACTATAAAAAGAAGAATCTATAATCATATTCGTTTCTGATGAATATTTTAGAATATATTCTGGATAATATTTGTCTAGTAATGGCATTGCGGAAGTGATAATGCTTAAAAATGACTTATTGTTCATTAAATCCTCTTTAAAATAAGTCATACATTTTTTATAAATATCATCAATTAATTCTACCTTATGTTCTTTAATTGCAAATTTTAATAATTCAACCCCATATTTCATAAGACTTGACTTATTATTTATTATGTCTGAAACCCATCCATCTAATCTAAAACCATCATAATTTGGTAATGGCAAAGTAGATTTTGAAAGCATTCTTTTGTAATATTGAAGTGTTTTCATATTCATATAACCATGATTGGATTTCATAAAATAAAAATAGTTTAAAAAAATAGATTTCTCTTTTTCACCAGATTTGTTATTTTCACTAAAAGTATAAATAAGAATACCAAATGTTGTCAATATAACAATGTCATCATTACTAAATAATAAACTCGCAATTAATTTATGATTATTGCGGAAATCACCAAAAAATTTATAAGGATAATAATAATTTTCAACTCTTATGTTAATTGATTCCCATTTAGTATTAATTTTTTTGAAAACTTCCAGTTTAATTTGACCGTTATCAACACTTATATTCCATTTAATTAAATTTTCAGTTGATTCAGTTAATTCTTTTTCATCTGTTGTGACTTTTTGAAATAATGTAGACACAGTATCCATATATAGATTAAATGAATGAACATTTAAGTATTCATCACATTCAACAATTTTGTTATGTTCTTTGTTTAATTCGTCAGAATTTCCAGATGAAAAGTTTGTCTTTGACATCTTTTCGTCAAATTTAGATTTCCAAACACGTCCATTTTGAATTCCAAACACAAACTTAGTTTGATCATCAGTTGATTCATCAGTTGGTTTTATTTGATTAAACATATTTTCGTATTTATTGTTCCAGCAATATTTGATTTCTTCATCCGAAGTAAAATAGAATAAAGAAGGTAAAAGAAATAAACCAGTATGATACATAAAATTATATAGTTGAATATCTAAATAAAAAATAATGATTTAATATGAGTAATAATTAAAGTATAAATAAAATTTTTTAAAAATGGTTACCATCATTTATATCCAAAGAAGCAATAAAAATTCCCAATTCGATTGAATAAACGATGATTTTATCATTGATATTTAGAAAAATAAATTTTTCATCATTACTGAATATTCCGATATTTTTTGTTTCAAACTAAAAAATAATTAATATTTATATATTTAATTATAATTTAATATTGATTGGAAAATAAATTTTATAATATTTATTACCTTATTCTTATCCTTATTATTACCAAATATTTTTACAACTCTTTCAGTATTAATATTCCATTCATAAATGTGATTATTTGAAAACAGGTAAACTTTATCATATTTTGATATACTAATTAATTCATAATCTTCAGGTATCTCGTAAAATCTCTTATATTCCCATTTGTTATTTTTAGTTTGTGTGGAGTAAATATAAATAATTTTATGTTTTCCAGAAACAGCATAAACTTCACCATATAAAATAAATTCACCTTTTAAATTAAAGGTACAATAATATAAATAGTATCGACGATAACGTTTTTTATTTAAATATAACGCAATATCTTTTTTATTATTCATATCGATTACTAAAAAAATATTAAAATAAATATCTACCATAATTTAATAACTACATAATCAACTAATTTATTACTTACCAGTAATAGTATAAGTAATATAAGCAAGTTTCTTATCATCGGAAACGCATAAACGGTTGATTCCATATTTCTTATCTTTATTATCTCCATTAGTTTTAACAGCTTGATGAAATTCAAGTTGTACCTTATCTATATCTTCAACATTCCAACCGACAATTGAACCATCTTCTTCACTATAAGTAATAAGGTATTTTTCATTTGGTGATATTTCTACCATAGTAATAGATTTACCATTATGTCGTTCATCATCGAAGGTAAAAAACTTATCAACAACATTTTTATCAACATCGATTTTATCATCAATTTTATCAACTTCGATTTTATCATCAATTTTATCAACTTCGATTTCGATTTTGTTAACATTATCGTTAACTTCGATTACTGAATTGTCACTCATCTGGAAATCGCTTATAAATATATAAATTTCTTACCAAAGAAATTATTTTTTTTTATATCATCCATTTGCGATTATATAGTTTTTTTTTTCATTTGAAACACGTGTAAATATGCATGGTTATACGACTTATACGTACATAAAAAAAGATTTTTTTTTAATTGTAAAAACTAATTAAGTTTTTTATTGAAACACGTGTATAAAATCCGGTAAGACGAAAAGGTGTAGAGTAGGGCCCCTGTGGTGAGTAGAGTATGGTGACATTTGGCAGTGTGTAACATAAAGGGTGTGAAACATACTCAAGTGATGAATAGACACCCGGCCAAACCGCTGGGCCGAGCTTGGGCCGAGATGTTTGTTTATCACTTGAGTATAATGTCACATCCTCGCTATACTCTACTCACCACGGGGGCACTACTCTACACCTTTTCGTAGCACTCGTATAAATCTGTGTGTAAATTTCGCTTCATACATAAAAAAAGAATTTTTTTTTTTATTGTATAAGCTAATTAAGTTTTTATATTGAAACACAAGTCGAATATTCATTGCCGTACGTAAAATTTCGTCTCCTGCATAAAAAAAAAAAAAAAAA